GAAATTCGGCAAAAAGCATCTTTGGTTTAATTTGATTCTAGTAAATGCAGGAGTTTTCTGTTGAACTGAAATTTAAAGATTTCGCAGAAAGTATTATCACAAATTATGGCAGAAAGTCTGGTATTTTTTGGACGGAAGCCTCTTCCTCCAATCTGGAAACTTGATCTTTGTCTTACTATTTGATCCTGTAAAACTTTCACAGTTGTCTAGTTTTACTCAACTGTGTAAAACATTTATACAGGCCGATAAAACCAATAAAAAATCGGTCTTCTAAGCGTTAAAATTAGTTTTTACCTGGTTGGATATTGTGTCAATAATTAATGCACAACGTGTCCTCAGTCTCTGTGTAGAGAGTAATAATGTAAGAGCGGTTAACCATCATCCGTCTAGACAAATGTATGTATTTAACAGCAATAGCCATGCAGGCACTCTCTCGACTATATACTCATTTCTTCTCTTATCATTTTCTCCTAATTCTCTTCACTCTTTCTCTCCTTTCTTTTTGGACATAAATAAGCTAGAGGAAAGAAAAGAAAGGATGAACATCATTGTAGTAGTGTGTGACATAGTAATATATAGTACTAATATAGAAAATCATTAGTGTTGAAATAAACTGAACGAGTGACTTTTGTGGGTATATATCAAGCATATTTCATTACAGATATCCTTACCGTAGCCTAAGAAATTTTCATCGCATTCTTCTGTAATACTGCCCTAATTGGAAGGCTAAAAGTAATAAATAGCATAAACAGTATCATGACAGATGTGTGCAAAGTAAGATTGTATTCCTAACGTGTAACTTGACTGAGAAAAGTTTTCTAAAACTTACCTGGCACTACTCTAGATGGTAGGGTACCTCTACACATCTCTATGTAAGAGTGAGAGTACAACTATGGATGGTTATGTTGGGTATGGCTTCAAATCTAGAAAAGCAAACAGGCACACTCTAACACAAGCCCACAGTTAGCTGCATCTCTACTTACCATCGATCCTCATATCTTAACCACACCCTTGGATCATCCTGTCATTCGTTTCATTATCGGTTTCTTTTCAAAGGCTGCTAGCAACATATTTATCGATCTAAAATGATCATGCAGTCATATTTTTTTTTGTCGTAAATACTCTCCAAATAAGCAATATAAGTAAATCCTATTAGAAAAACATAGAATCATCTGTATCAATTATTAATTTCTTACTAAGTGTTACACATGTTAAGGCAATGATTTCATGATGTAACTTTCAACAAGTAGTAGAGTACAATATTTTATTAGAAATACCTACCGGTTCAATAGATCAGGTGACTACTTGTGATATTTCTAAGTTTAATCGGACAAAATTAACGTCTCATAAACATTAATAATATCCAAACAAAGTGGCTGTATTGTATTGACACAATTCTTTTGTAGAAAAGATTTGAAACACAACAGAATATCTTTTTTTATGTTAATTATCAAACTTTTATAAACACTTCGCTATTGAATTTATCTACTGATATTATTCAAATTTTATTTTTAATATCATGCAATACTGCAGACTTTTCGTTCTCTATATCTGTTTCAAAACGATCGATTTTTACCTCTTGTTTTTTTCTTCTGCTTCACATATGAAACAGAAGAAAAAAAATGAAATAACGAAAACAATAGATAATAATTGATCCTTTCGAAAAAGATACATATTAAACAAAAAGCCTGTACTGTTTTTGTTGGGGATTCGGGCATAGCACTCGAAGATCATTATGGGTATTTGTAAAACAAGCGAACACCCCCAAATCGGAAAATGACATCACTAGTAGATAGAGCTCAATGAGCTGATTCTACGAACAAAACCGCAAAAATAAAAAACGGTTGAATATAAGAGTGATTGTTCAATGCACACTGTTTTTTTTCGAATCTACGAACACCCAGATCTTTTGACAGTGAGTAGCCCTACTTGAGTTAAGTACATGTACAAAATTTCAGCCTTTTATATGCTTGCATAACGAAAATAGCAGGGACCGACTTTTTCAATTTTAAGCCTGATACTTTAATTTCGTTTCCATATTCCGATTATAAGGTTTAACATTGAAAAGCCGGTCCCTGCTATTTTCATCATGCAAGCATATAAAAAGCTGACATTTTTGGCATGTACTTAACTCGAATAGGGCTACTCACTGTCAAAATATCTGGGTGTTCGTAGATTCGAAAAAAAACAGTGTGTATTAAACAATCACTCTTATATTCAACCGTTTTGGATGCTCGTGGGCGTTCGCTTGTTTTACATATATCTGATAATTATTACTTTTCACTCGGCTTGTTATGTTATTTTCAAAGATGTGATTTGTATTTTGTCTGAACGAAATCAAAAAGTTCAAATTATGCGATATGTATTGCAATAGTATTAGCGAAATAAAAAAATGATGATTGTTTTTTTGAAAATAGCCTTTCACGTTTAGACTTAGCTCTTCTAAAAAGGTTATTAGTGCTTGATGTTTTGCATTCTAACTCATTGAAAACCATAATTTTGAAAAAAAAAATTAAATGCTCTATAAAAATAGAGAACTAAAGATATTCTACCGTATCATCGAAAGAGTTTTTATATGAAAGAAAAACAAAAACTTATTCTGCTTGATGCAAACAACATTTTTAATTTATTCAGATATTTCCACACAGCTAATCAATTCGAAGTTTAGGACGAAAATCTAATTATTTGTTTGAACATAATATCAAGCTTTGATTATAAGTAATGGATTTTGACTTTCTTTCAAAGCGTCTAGGTAAAGAGAAAAAAAAAGAGCAAAGATCTGTACAGAATCTTGTTACGTCAAGATTTTTCTACGAACAATGTTTTAGATAATGTCGAAGAATTATTCTTAATATAGTAGCAGGTGATACAAAATAAAACCTTTATAATACATTTATGGAAAGCATAAAATACTCTCTCTAGCTAATTATGTTAGATCCTCTTCAATCATTTGTAAGTGCTTGAGAATCAAGCAAACATGCCGTAGGAAAACTTTTGATGCGCGATTTAATAATATTGATTAATCGCATTACTCAGATACAGAGACATCGATATGATACATTGCATGCTATTCTACTCACTCAATGTTTAGTCTTTGCATTTTTAATATGTTATTATTCATGATGTGACTCGAATAATATCATGTTAGAATCGGAATAGTAGTACGCGTACTTTTTTTAAACGATGATATATACAAGAGTGTGTGAATTCAATATTCGACATGCAGCGTCCTCTATTATATCCTATAGAGGTTATATGTATATAATATGACTACAATGGTAGTGCTCTTGTGTACGTGTAATTACGTGTGTAGCTTATCTTCACTCACAATCCGGATTTGTTTTTAATAAAAAAACAAAGTTGGAAATTTCAAAGTAGAAGTAAAATGTAATGAATATCTATCTACTGCTTACGAAATATACACTGCCTTATACTTTCTTCGAAAAAGCAGTTTGTACGAATCACATTTTGAATAAAGAAGTAAACATTTCTTTTTAAAAAATTGTATCTATGTTTATTGAACACTTTATCCATATAAACAAAGTATAAATATAAATCTAATTTAAGATTTCTAATAGAAAGATTGATTGATAAAACTAAAAGTTTATAAGTTGTTTTTAAATGAATATTTTCAGATTTAACTGAACAAAATCGACATCAAAATAAGACTGCCTCCAAGACACGTTCAGAAGTTTGTCGATTTCAATGTTTTTTATTGCTCTAGATTTACATTATAGCATTGTAAACGGATGGTTGGTTACAATGCAAGAAATAAAGATACTCTTAATATAGCGTTTCTTTGCCCACAATGTAATCTCATTTTACGAGACCCCGTTCAGCTTACATGTGGCCATCGTCAATGTAAATCTTGTGTTGAGTCAATAGATAGGTAAAAATATCAGTTGATATGCTTATCGATTTTAATTAACTTGTATATTTTTAAGAGAAACAATCAAATGTTCTGACTGCCAAGAAGAAACGCAGAAGAAAGATGTTAGGATATGAAGTTTATTTCAATTCAAACAATATGTTTTACTTTTTTAGGTGTTATTGGATAAAGGGTATAAAAATGATATGCAATTACTGCCTATCAAATGTTACCTTTGCAATTGGGATGGCTCATTAAAGGTTTACGAGGTATAAAATCTCAATTGTATCTCTATTTGTGAAACATAATACAATACTTAATTTTTACATTAAAATCAATATAAAATAAACAGTAGAAGAATACTGTTAATATACTTTTATGAGAGACACATTGAATATATTTAGAATATGTTTTAGTTAATGTTTATAATTTAAAGAAACGTGTTTCATTAATGCTTTAAGAAGAGCAAAGCATATTGCATTCATTCAAATAATTACGAAATTTTAAATTGCTGTTCATATATAAACATTTTACAATTGATAAAAATTTAAAAGTTTTCATCAAGAAATCTCGAAATTTAAGATCGCTACTTTCCACATTTATGCAGTTCTTTCAGAATCTTTTTTTGCCTACTAAATATAAGCATTCAAAGCTATTATTTTCGATCGCGATACTGTCGACAACACAGAATGAAATTTCATAATCGAATCTGTACCATTCATGTTTTCAATATTCCATAGAATGTTCAATTTTCTTACTAAAAGGCACCTAAAAAGCCAAACTTTTTTTTTTTGTGTAAAAAGTTTTTGAAGAAAAGTGTTTTATGATATACCAATATTTTTTTCATAATCAATATTCGTAATTGCTGCACTACATTTTACAATCAGATGAAAGTCAGATGTCATCTAGTTCACAAAAAAAAAAAGATTTTTATTTCGTTTTGACAGATTTATAGTACAAGAACATTTATGATAACAAATAGTTTTGTAATTGATATCATTTTAAAAAACTTCATTGGGAAAATCGTGTCTTTAGATTTGATTATTTATCAATAATTTTATAACTATTATGTATTACTTTTAAGAATCATCTACAAGAGTCTCATCAAAATCCTTCGTGTGAATGTTGTGGGATGAAATTTAATACAACAAATGATCTTGACTATCATAAGTTAAACGAGTGTACTAAAATTACTATACCTTGTGCTCTCAAAGATTATGGTTGTTTAACGTCCGTAAGTGGTAAAAAATAAGTGTTAATGAAAAATTTTTTTTATTTTATTTCTTACTTATAATTCTTGTGTTTTTTAGGTTGTTCGTGTTGAAATAGGAGAGCATTATAAAAGTGAAGAACATCAAAGTGCAATAATCAATTTTATACGTCGGATTTTATCAAAAATAAATGATCAACATGATAGAGGCTCGACAATGGATGTTGATACACTTTCTCATACTACTATGCTATCCTCCGATAACATAAATAATCAATTACAGGAGGTTTGTCAAACAATTGATATTCTTGCTGATGGAGTTTCAACATTGAATGGAGATGCACAACGATTAAGTCAAGAATCACTTCAACTACATAATACTATAGATAATTTGACTCGTGAATTTGCAATATTGAAAATAAGTATTCAAGAACAAGGCACATATTTAGATGGACTTAAACCTAATCAGGATGTTCTTAATCAAGATGTTGCATCATTAAAACAAAAACTTGACGATATGCAATTTGTTTCTTATGATGGTACATTATTATGGAAAATACCAAATTTTAGCAGTAGGATGGGTAAGAAGTTTTTTTTTTAAGAAGATTTATTCTCATGAAAGATAATCTATGAAGAAAGTTCAGACAAAACGGATGAGAGAACGATTAAATATTACTCAATGTCCAGAATAGATTCCTGCTGGCCAAGTATTTTTATGTCTGAAGTGTTCTTAACTATAAATAAGACTGAGACAACTAAATACAACAGCCTATTTGTTGCTTTTTTTACTTCACTTGAAAACCAATTGTCGATGCAGTGCATGGTGTCTCTATGAAAATTTCTGAGGTTGTTTGGCTGATGCAAGTATAATAATAAAAAAACTTTCACACCTGTTCATATTACTGTTCGGAAGGCATAATGCAAAGTAGAACTTTTACGTCTACACATATTTTTGAAATAGATTTCAAGCTACAGCGTTTGTACTTCTTGCGTTTCAAAGAAAACCTCGGATTTCTTCTAATTCTAGAAAACTTATTAATACTTTGATATTGAAGATCGAATAAACAAAGCCGCAGTTTATTAGAACGAACACTATCGAAAAGAAATTTGTTTGAAATTCAATTATCTATACAAAAATCAATGTCAAGAAGAGCACGCGAACATTTTTTCCTGATATTTACCTGAAGAATTTGCTAACAAAAAGATCGAATATAGCTATTCTAACTACAATAGATTCTTATACGTTTCTTACAGATATGGTATTGACATTTTCACTGGAAAACTCTGAATATTCATCATGATTGTTGAATAAATCTTTTAAAATTTTTGGTTACTCATATGAAAATTTAAAACTAAACATTTTAGAGGTTATATCTATACACTTATCTCCAAAGTTGTATTTTTTGGAAAATCAATTTTTTTTAAACTGATGGAGAGAGATTTTAACTTTAAAAAAACGATGCACTTTTTTTGCCTGGCTATCCTCTATGAATGTTCTGTTAATAAATACATTTATATTCTAGCTGATGCACAATCCGAACGACAAACTTCGATTTACTCACCACCATTTTATTCATCACCTACGGGTTATAAAATGCGAGGTCGTCTTTACTTAAACGGTGATGGAAATGCTCGTCGTACACATATGTCACTTTTTTTTGTACTGATGCGAAGTGAATATGATGCTATTCTCAAATTTCCATTCAATTATAAAGTGACATTTTGTCTGTACGATCAGACTCCAGCACAACGACATATTATTGATTCATTTCGACCAGATGTTAAATCGAATAGTTTTCAACGGCCACGATCTGAAATGAATATAGCCAGTGGTATTCCAAAGTTTTGTTCTTTGTCAACAATTCAACAAGAAGGTAATGCTTATGTTCGAGATGATACAATGTTCATCAAAATTATGGTGGATTTTGCTGATACACCAAAAACATTATTACCATTTGCATTAACTCTTAATCCAGGCTTTCCGATAAATATTCAACAAACATTGCTTAAACAAGAAGCAGAAAAAAGGACTCAACAAACTTCCACTCCACCGGCTACTTAAATTCATGGCAAAATATATATCTAGTGGTAATATCCAGTATGAATAAATATTTTAGCATGATTCCATCACTGTAAGGCAGTAGTTGCAATTTTCCATGTTATTAATAAACTAAATTCACAAGAAGAATAAAGGAAAACAGAAAAAAACAGAAGTAGTGGCTTTTTTAGTAGTATGTTCAAGAAATTATTGTTCATATATTCCTATCTTATCTTAATCAGTTGTTTCTCTTTTTTTGATTTGCTTTTTCTCAATTTAAGAATCAAATCCCTTTGATAAAAATGCTTGCTTCAAGTATACGGATAAAAAGAAACATCAATAGGTAATTTAAATTTGTATTATATTAGCGTATAAAATACTTGAATCAAGAATATTTACTAGGACAAAGATAAGAGAGTTATCGATGTATTGGATTTATTTTTATTTTAAACTTAGATTTTTTTCTTCAAAATATTTTTAATTTAACTTATATTGAAATATATTTCATTTCAATTTTCTGAATTTAACATTTTTTTGATTTATTGGATGTTATTACGGTATCGACAATTCGAAATCTGTGCAAAATCTTTTTTTTCTTCGCCATGGTTTAATACAGCTGATCGAGTTACCTCGATAGATGTTGTTTTTTGATATATTCAAACGATATTTTCCTAGTTAAGATTAGGGAAACTAGATTAACATCGAAATACATAAAAAAATATGGAGTTTTAGTAGTCATCAAATTAATTCAAAATCATTTTTTTTTTTGATTTAGATATTTCTAACAAAACTTCATAAGCATAGATTCGTATTTCGAGATTTTGATTATTAAAAATTGAGTTTCGAAAAAAAAACAAATATAATATTGAATATCAACTGCACTTTTCCTAAGGTTGAAACATGACGAAAATTAGTTTTAAGTATTGAGTTTACTATTCGATACAGATTTTTTCTCTCCTAAACTATATGATGAGTAAAATGAAGAAATTTTGAGACTACGGAGACATCATGTTTTTGATGTATTTTAATATTAATCTAATATTTCTAAGTTTCACGAGAAAAATATCGTTGTAATATGATAAAATAAATGTTGTTTAAGATAACTCGACGAGATCTATCTAACCATGAAGAAAAAAAAGCATTTTGTTCGTTTTTTTTTTCGAATAGCATATATCGCAATTTATAATTATTATTTTATATTAATGGTTGCTTTTAAGTGATTGTATTAATAATTTATTCATTTTATTCATGAGTCTATTGATTGATATATTCGATTTAGTGTTTGTTTTTTTCAATACGTGTGATATTATTTTTTTTCTATCGGATTATTTACAGTATTTGCTGCAAGATTTCTATTTATTCTTGAAATAAATTCTTTTACTGAAGCTTTTCTTCTTGATTATATTCAATAAATAATAAGACAAAAATCAGAAAATTAAACTTTTTTTTATTCTTGATTGTTTAAATTATAATTTTCTAATAATCTTCAATAGATTGATTGAAATTTACATGATTTTTACTGAACTAAAAAAGAAAGTATTCAAATTATTTGTATATGAATCAATTATGATACAATGAGGATTGAAATTTTTTACACATATTTTTCATTACATAGCAATATAAGTTAAACTTCTATATATTGGATTCATTGTAGTTCTCTAGTAAAATAATGATATATAAAATCAACATTAATCAATGCTAATTAATCTTCAGTTTACTAAGAAAATAAACATGTTGATTGTTGAATGAATTAAGAAAAACATTCGTAGAAAATTTTTGAATTTATAGTTCGTTAAAAGTAAAAAATTGTTAAAAAATTATGATAAAAAAATATTCCATTATAAATTTAAATATGTTTTCTTGTTTTTATATGAGTTATTGTAAATGAATCATTATTATTAACAATGAATATTTCAAAGATTCGTTCTTCAATAGTAATAAATTAGTCTACTATTAGTTGGAAATTTCCAACTAACATTCATAATGACTCACGATGACTGTATAATTATTATTAGCTAAATAATACCGTGTCATTATTATTCATTTATTTCGTTAGACAATTAAATCATATAAATATTGTTCATAAAAATCAATTAATAAATAATTTAGTATCAAATGAGTAAACTATATCTTGTAAGTAATTTATTAGTAAAACGAATTTTTTGTTCAATGTTAATATACATCAATTGATTTAATAAATATTTCATTTTACTTTCGCTTCAAACATATAATTCATACATATTAGTTTGATATACTTTTAATATGATCGTATTGAAAATGAATGTTGTATCAAATTTCTCAAAAGTATATCAAATAGTTTTCGCATTTCGTTGCAATAAATAGAAGTCATACAAATATAAACTATGATAGTTTTTCAAATTTAATGAGAACTTTTTCTAATAGACTTTAATAAATTATCATTAATAGCATTGAATAGAAGTGCGTCACAAAATTATAAGGACAAAATGAAGTCATCTTGTAATGATACGTGGGACTCGTAAGTAAATATCTATGATATCATTATTTTTTTGCTTTTTCTTTCTTTCAATCGTTTCAAAATGTTGTCTAAAGTATTAGTTTATTCACACAAAATGAGAAAGATTTGTAATTGTGCGTCAATTTTTTTACAATGAGGTTTGACGTCATTGTGTTTGTTAAAATCCATCTAGTGCGGAATTTTTGACTCAATACATAGAGATATATACATATATATAAAGCTCTTCTATTGTGTCATCAACATCATATATTATGAAGTAAGTTTTATGTTTGTTTCAATCATAGTTTCTATCAGGTAAAATGTTTTAATATCACTTAATAATTTTTACTGACGATGTTATGATTTGATATTAATTCATTTCATTGAATAATTATTTTCCAAGCAGAACCTTAATTTCTTGTGAAAAATATTATGAAGTGTTACTTTTATTTGAGAAATTTGTTATTTTGTAATATTGTCCTAGAAATTTTATAAACTTATATCTGTAAATAGTCGTTCGTAATCGTAATTCTTTTGTAAATTATTTCAGATTGATAATACAAAGGCTATTAATGACACAAAAAATAGGGGTATTCTTAAAATGAAGTTTAGATGTATAGTGTATTCACTGATAATAATCCTGTGACGCTCGATTTTGAAAATTTTTCTTGGTTAACTTTTTGTGTCAATTTTTCTCACAAAGTTTGAAAAAACAGGAGTAGTTCTATGAATAAAAATCCATTTTTCTCAAAAACTAAGTCGAAAATGAAAAATCCAGTTCATTTAAGTTGCTGAGTACAATTTTCTTTTCAATTAAAAACTTTTCGAACTTTCTAACGGGTAAAATGATTGAGAAATACAGGAGATACAAATAAATTAGGACTTTGGAAGTCCAGTTTTTTTTTCTGCCTCAAATGATTCATGAAAGATCATATGAAGACTATGTAGAACCCTTAATAATTGATACTTTTGATAGAAAGATGTTAAATGATCCAATGCAGCTAACTAATCATGATCATTGTTAATATCAATCACAATTTGTATCTTAGCATGAGTGAGTTTTCATTATCTAATCAATCTTATATTGTTTATTATTGTGTGCATGGGATTGAGTAAACCCCCCCCCCCCGCAAAAAAAGCCCCCCCCCCCCCCCGTATTAGAAGGCCCCCCAAAAAGTTCTGAATGATCGCCTTAATAGAAGGCCCGGGCCTTATATTAAGGCTATGATTCTACTTCGATACCGGCGAACCTGGAAAACACTCACGTAAACTTTGGCGCGAGAAGTTCTTTTATACCTCAAAAGCTTTCAAATAGTGTGTATCTGTCCCTGTGAATAGGGGACCGTTCATTTGCATTACAGAATATCCGTATTTTGGTTCCATTTTTGTCGAAATTCCTACGACTTGGGAAGCTCAGCAAAAAAACAATTTTATCCGCTTAATTATGAACGTCTCGGATGGTCAAAACTGAAGGAATTGTGGAAAATAACTGAACATCAAGTTTTGGTAATTTATCAATGTACAAAAATCTTTTTCACGTGAATGGTAAGATTTCGTCATTTTTGCGAAAAAAAGACTACCTATTGGAAAATTAGACGTGTTTTGGACAATGTATATCATAGATTCCTAATAGAAGGGCCCCCTAAATAGAAGGCCCCCTAAAAATTTTGTTTGCTCCGCCATTATAGAAGGCCCCCGGGCCTTTTAATGGGGGGGGGGGGGGGTTAGGTCAACTCATGGCATTTGTTCACGTATTTCCTTATTTATACCCCCAAATGTACTTTTTCCAATTTTGAATATGTCAAAATGAATGAGTAAATGTGTTGTGTTCTCATTAATCTTTAATGAAATCATCTCTGTAGAGAGTTTATTTTTGCTGATACAGCAAAGAAACCGAAATGAATAAAGAAAAAAACTTACATTTGAATTCGATTCACACTTGCACAGAAAAATGATATTCAATGTCGATAGCCAATACAGTTTCTTTCGCTATACGATCGTAAATTATTTTCTTTGACAATAAATATTTAAGATGCAAAACTCTGCAACTTTTCAGATACGTCATATATCGATTTATGCGCCATTCTAAATGACTCAAAGGATAACGAAAGACTATTCTTGAAATATACACAATTACTATTTTTATACCGATGAGAGTGCTTACTTATGAGTCATTTCATCGTTGGTAAATATAATAACATAACAGACATGTGAGTGTAAAAAATAGTTTTGGCCTTCTCTTGATCCTTACGCCGATCACAGTTTCAAACATATTCTTGTACCTACATCCTATGAAGTATGTAAAAATGAACGACAAATATTAAAAATTGGTTGTTGTTAGTATAAAGTTTTGTTTTTTTGCTATCACCTAATAATCGAAAATTCGATCATATACTCATGAATATCTCTTGGAATTCTTTGCTTCAGTCTCAAACACTCGTTATGTTCACAGTCTATCAGTAAATTTCCATTATGTCAATGAGAGCGCGAAAGACATTTTAACGATACTATTACAACAGCAGCAGCACAGTCATGGCAGCTTTTGTTTTGATTATTAAAACAAAACAGTCTTCTGTTCATTTTCTCAATGAAATAAAAATATTGTTCGTTATATTTCTGCATTGGAATCATCAACAATACTCGAAAAAAAATGATGTTAAATGTTCCTATAGTGAATATGAACATGAATTTTTTAGAATACTTGACTCATATGCAATAAATTCTAGTTTCCTTTTCAATGTAACGGTTTTTGGACTACTTCACATATACTCATAAGCTTTTCGAATCATTATCTCAAATTAGAGAAGATATAAAATAAACGGAAATTTCTTAGACTGTTGTACGCCTCTGTTATTCTTTCTTTCCTCTATCGGATTTCAAAAATGGAAAGACACTATTATTTATAGTATTTCATTAGATAGTATGTGGACGTCTTCTTCTTAGAAAGTGACGAATACGTTATATAGTTAACAATTTCATGATTCATTGACATTGTGCAACTTTCATATATACCGATCTCTGATGAAACCGACTCTATCAATTGTTTGTTTGTACTAATTCAACATTGTCATTTGATCTTCACATGGTATGTTCGACGGAGTTGACAAATACATATGAATCATTTACCTTGATAACTCATGCATCACACATTTCTATTAAGTAAAAGAATGACGTGAGTGTTTTCTATCCTCATCTAGCAGAAAAGTAGGTCTATGCTTTCTTCTTACAGGTAATAAGATAAGCTCTGAAAAAAAAAAATGAAAATGCCTCCAATATGGAGACCTTATGATGAAATAAGTCAAACTATAAATCGTTGCCATTATTCGGAAGAAACTGTATAATGCAATCGTTTGTTTTTATCCGATTCAACTGAATTTAGACAAAAGCTTTGATATATCTGTTGATATTCAATCAGTTTTCATTAAGATATCAACAATAAATTAAAGGTTTGATCAAATAGTAAGAAATGGCTGTATTTAGAACTCCTTACCAGTTTTTATTTTGAAAATTTGAAATTCTTATCCTATTTTAATACTAATTCATGATTTCTAGATAAGTTATTTATTACATACCTGTATATCAAAAAGTTATTCTTATTCGTTTATTTGTTTGTAAAGTAACCTGTGTCTTAGTTGTTTTTCATATTTATGAGAACTTTCTTTGATTTATAATTAACTAACAGAAAAAATTCAAGTGATGGTAGGTATCGATGCAAGAAATAAACATATACTTGATACGAAATATATTTGTAATGTATGTTCATTGATACTACGAGATCCTGTACAGTTGACTCAATGTGGTCATCGATATTGTCATACATGTTTAAATATTGAACAAGAGTAAGTTTCATTATCAATATGAAATATTATTTTTGATTGTTCTTTTTTAAGAACGACAATTAGATGTCAACAATGTAAATCAAAAACATTACGAAGCAAAGTAAAATATCTTTTAATAATTAACAAGAAAATAATATTTATCTTGTATAGGTGCTAATTGATCGAGGCTTCAAAATTGACATGAAATTACTACCCATTGAATGTTCGTTTTGTCAGTGGACTGGTGTCTTAAATAACTATCAAGTAATTTATTTTGTATTTATCTTATTCTTGAATCTTCCATAATTTTTCTTTCAAAGGAACATCTTGATCAATGTTATTCAAATCTCAAATGTGAACATTATGGCGAACAGTTCAACTCAGTTAAAGAATTCAGCCAGAATAAAGTCTCTGAATGGCAACAACTGACTGTTGATTGTATATTGAGAGACTTTGGTTGTAACGAGCGAGTATGAATATTCTCTAGATAACATTGACATCGAAAAATTCATGTTGTTTAGGTTAACCATGCCCAAATGAAAAATCATTATTTGACTGAACAACATCAACGTGCCATACTCAATGTTGTTCATCGAATTTCATCGATATTAAACGATAGACACGGAGATATTCATTCTTCTCAAATTACAAATGTAGGAGCTTGTAATCCTGCTACAGCTCAATCACAAGAGGTTAATGAAATACTCAATATCTTGATAGGCGGCATTGCAACATTGGGCAATGATGAACAACGTCTAAGGAGGGAGTCAATTCAAATGCAAATATCATTGACAGAACAATTATTAGAATATAAATTATCCACTGAAGAATCAATTGCTTTTTTGGGACCACTAGAACATAATCAACACATTCTTAGTCAAGGTTTACTATTGGAAGAAGAAAGCAATGATTTGCAATATGTTCCACATGATGGAACATTTTTATGGAAAGTAAAAAATTTTCAAAAGAAAATGAGTGAGTTAAACAGTTACTCTTTTATTCTCAATGATAAAAATAAAAGGTCTTATCGAAAAGAAAATGAAAGAATAAGCTGTTATTTGCTTTTCATAGTATTGACAAATATTACATTAATGATTCAACGTTATATTCAACATTATATATGATTACTCTTGAATATAATCTATGAGTTATTTGTTACTGCATTGACGGAATGAATCATCAATGCTGTCCATCAACTAGATTTTCTTATACTTAGTTCTGCTCTTCTTGACGTATTTTTTTTTGATTGGTTTTGTAGTTGATGCACAATCCGAACGACAAACCTCAATCTGTTCACCACCTTTTTATTCATCACCTACGGGCTATAAAATGCTAGGTCGTCTTTACTTAAACGGTGATGGAAATGCTCGTCGTACACATATGTCACTTTTTTTTGCACTCATGCGAGGCGAATACGATGCTATTCTTAAATTTCCATTCAATTACAGAGTGACATTTTGTCTGTACGATCAGACTCCAGCACAACGACATATTATTGATTCATTTCAACCTGACATTGGATCAAGTAGCTTTCAACGACCTCGGTTGGAAATGAATATAGCCAGTGGTATATCAGAGTTTGTCCCATTGAAAATGATTCAACAGGAAGAAAATCCTTATGTACGCGATGACACAATGTTTATCAAAATTACGGTTGATTTTCAGGAAACACCAAATATATCATTGTCCTACGGTTTGAGTCTCAATCCAGGTTTGCCAACGCATGTTCAACAAGCAATGATCAAGCAAGAAATGAAAAAAAGATTTGAACAACAATTGCAAGATTCGAATGAAACGACAGAGATACAATTGAGCTGCGACGAAACTACTCAATAAAAGAAGAGTCATTTAATATGTTGAACCGGTTTTAATGAAGATTGTGTTTCTGAACAATATGTTTCTTCATTCTTTGATCAACCAAAAGAAGCAACCGAAATTTTATACTACTGGATTAGTATCACAAGTTTTTATTCTATCTGATTCAAAATTCATAGTTTTTGTGAGACTCATAACTCAGGTGTTACGAATGAATCTATAGAAGACCTCAAAATAAAATTTGAATGAATTTCAATGAGTTGAGACGAAGACATTCGGACTAGACCTAGTAGTGTGCGAAAAATCAGTAACAGAAAACATTCAAAAAGGAATATTATTACTGAGAAAAATCGATATTGTCTACGGGTTGATCTGAAAAATTTGAAAATGTGATGCATTCAAGCAAACGGAAGTGCTATGAAAAATATTATAAAATGAATTTTAAAAGAGATTCGATCATATATTCTTTCTCTGTATCTATTCTGAAAACTGTTTCTGTTCAAATTTTATTTCAGGCTTTCAAAACATTAACTCATAACTATTAACTTATTGAGTTCCACAAAAAAATTTTTAACATATTGTTCCAATATTCCTGTTAAATTTCTTTACCGACCGAAAAATGACAATAATCAAGCTTAAAATATATGTTCCACTTTTAAAATTTATCAAGAAGAAAACTATATTCGATAATATGATATGTAAAGAACGAGTTCTTCAAAGGTTTTTCTTGCTACTTGACTTGGTTAACACAACTTTAACAATATTTGAGATAATCAAGTTTTTATATTTCATGAAATATTTGCAATAATTTTCTTGTTATTTATCTCGAATTTATCGATTAACACTCTTTCATAAGATTCTTTGCTTAATGACCGTAAGACTTTAATCAGATGTAAGTATGGTCTTGGGTATGAGTCTTCTATTTACCCGCATCCACATGAACACACATATTCTCATTTAGATGCATAAAATCGACTTTGCATTCTTGATACTACCTTAATGGCTATTTCATTTTGACTTATTAATCGGTGTTAACTTAAATATCGTTGTTTTACAATTGAAAACATATAAGAAAGAATTTATTGTTGCTAATATTTATCTGCATCGTTTTTTATTTTATCTATCATATGTTGTAACGAAATCATGAGCTAATTCTCATCCCATATGATCGATAACAGACGTCTGCGAGAGAAAAAAAAACAGTTTCTGGTAAATCCATGTTTATTCTTCCCTTGACTTTTTTTAAATGAAGAGATACGTGACGAGTTCCACACATATGCAGAGTGGAAAATTTCCTATCATACTCGAAATTTAATCGGTCTCTGTAGCTTTATTATCAGTTATCATTCGTTTCAGTGATGTAGTTATACCGTTTTCTAAGTGAGTGACGCGTCGTGTATATGCCAAAATAAACGCTCAGTTTTTGCCCATCAACTGTTCGAATATTTTCTCTTACATTTTGATAAAAACTTTAATCCGAAGACACAATCTGGGCATGCCGTACCTAACAATGCGTACTCTGAACTGATTGCAATAAAATGATTTTTTTCATAAAAAAAAGCACGTCATTGCATGCGTTGAACCTTACTCTATGCTTTTAATCGTTAGACTCCTATTAACTGTATAAAAATAATTCAGTTAACCCTTTATCTAACATGATATAACAATGTATTCCACACAATTTGATGGCTTCTGAAAATATGAAAACAAAAGAAACTAAATATAGAATTTATTCAACTATTTCTCTAATATGAATGTTATTCTTCAAAATATTCACTAATTAAATAGAAAGAATATTCTGGGTTATGGTTGAAAGTTCGCTTAAACATATACGTATTTGAGTTGGCAGAAACGAATCGTCACAAAATAAAGATTGCAATCATTGACATTATTTTATTACTTGATGAAAATGAGGCAAACTTGTGTGATCTTCTGTAAACATTCTAGTTGAGTCAACATTGATAGATTCATAGGCTAGTTCAAGTCTCATTCTCAATTTGCATTCGTGCTACATTTCAATTAGACTAACGCGAATAAATCAAAACAGCATCAATCTATTTTGTGATTTCTCAGAACTACTGTTCGAAAATAAATAATGTTGAAATAATTTAGAATTTGAAGCTATGATTTCATATTATATATGAAACTAATTTCAACATTCGTGGCACGTGAACAACTATAGACAACTACGTAGATGATGAAAAAAAAATTGACAATTGCAGATGACAACATGTTTGGAAAAATTAGCAAAGCAAATAACTTGTCGACTAAGATCAGTTACTGTGCTATAGAAAATTGTTATGTACATTACTGGAAACTCTATACATTCCATAAACAATTTTTTAGCATGTTTATAGTGATTTTTTTATCGTTTCGAATCGCTGAATTAATTGATGAACAATTCATGTTAATATAAATCTAATATTTGCATTTTTAAATCAGAATAAAGTTGAATATGAACGGCTTTCGATACAATATATTTTCAGTATACGAGTATGGGTGTATGTGTAGATGTTAGTGAAGGAATTGACCACACTGACACCAGCATACAAGCGCACTCACACTAAAACCCATATTCACAACCATCTAAAGCCTTCTATTGATTCAAGAATGCGTTCGTACATCAGTTTTTGTTGACGAAGAATTGTAATGTTCGTCAAACTCTAAGTTACATGAAACTTAAGCGTTCTAATGAAATAGAAAATAAAGATGGAGATATAAATAAACATCATGTCAATGGTCATAGTCCATCTTTTTTTCGATGCATATTGCATCTCGTTGTTCTCTTGGATGTGTATGGTTAGAAATGCTTTTATAACAAGCGAAGTAGAAGAAATAGTAATTATAGAACTTCATGTATTAATTGTTTTTCCTTCAAAAAAAGACTTCACTATTGAAAATCAAGTTAAAAAATACAAATCTGCACGTCAATCACATAGTATTGCTATAAAATACTTATTTGAAATATATTCAAAAACTTTTTCGAGTGTGTTTTCAATATAATGCGTACAGTTCTGTAACCACAATATGCATTAAAAAATTGTACTTGACTTTAGCTCTAATAGACTATTGTTGAATGAATAATACATTCTAACTGACTTAATTTTTCTGTAGAAAATAGATACATGCAATAGTCCAACGTATTTTTATCAAGATATTTCTATCAATACTTTACTGTAATAATAATCATATTTAGTCGAAAAGAAGTTTATTTGAATATTCAATCTAATTAATCGAGTTCAATTCCAAGTTCTTCCGATAGTCGTTCAATATTCGATTTCATTATCCATAGGTCGTCATGCCCGGAAGGCAGACATTTTTCATAGATAGTTAATGCTTGTTGATAGTAATCAAGTGCCAATATAGATTTATGAAGATTTTCATAAATTTCACCTATTTTTGATAAACTATGGCCAATGTCCTCATGATATGGTGGTAGAACTTTGAGACGCATTAAGTAACAATTCTGTTCGTATACAAGAGAGAGTTCATGTTCGCCTTTGTTTCTTTGTACTTGTGACAAACACTCAAGTGTGGTAGCGATGGAAAGGTAACTTGAAGGTAAACTGGCTTCGTCAATTAATAAACATCTTTCTAAATATTCAATAGCAAGATCGAACTGCAATTTTCTATTGAAATTAGTAGCGATCCAGTATAGACAATCAACAATTTCAACATATTCATTGGGATAATATTCTTTGAATATGATTAATGCTTGTTGATAAAAGTCAATAGATTCATCATGTCTTGTTTGCTCCAATAGAGTATAACCAATGTTCTTGAGACTCCTAGCAATGCTAAATTGATCATTAGATGAATTACTCTTAAGAACTGTCAACGCTTGTTGTTGAAATTCGAGAGCCTGATCATATTTTCTTTGGTGTTTTAAAGTTTGAGCTGTATTGTTTAGACAAGTAGCAATATTCGAATGATTGAATGCGTCTTTCTTGTAAAAGGTCAGTGCTCGATAGTAAAAATCGAGAGCTTTATCATATTTCTCTTGGTTATATAGAGCATTACCAATTGAAGTCAGACTATTCGCGATGGCGACATGAGTAGATTCATAATATTTTTCTTGGATAGTCAAGGCTTTTTGATGAAACTGCAGTGCTTCATCGTATTTCTTTTGTTCATATAGAGTGTTAGCAATGAAGCTAAAAGTATGAGACATTTCGATGTGACCATCAGGATAGAAGTTTTCTTGTATTGAAAGTGCCCGTCGATAATAGTCAATTGCTGCATCATACTTTTCTTCATCGTACAGAACATGACCGATACCATTGAGGATATCAGCTATGATGACACTTCCTGATGGATAATATTTCTCTTGAATTTCTAATGCTTTGTGATGATATTCAATCGCTTTATCGAAATTTGTTTGTTGACGAAATGTTCCGCCAATATTAATGAGGGTTGACGCAATGTTCACATGACCATCTGGATCGTACTTCGTTTGCATTTCGAGTGCACGTTCATAAAACTTCAGGGCTTCATCGTATTTTTTCTGTCCAATGAGAACATTACCGATGTAATTGAGACTATTGATTATCTCACGCCGACAAGACGAGCGATACTTTTCTTGCATCTCGAGTGCTTGCCAGTGATAATCAAGAGCTTCATCATAATTTGCTTGCGCGCATAATGTAATCCCGATGTCGTTCATACAAACAGCAATGGAGGAATGATCGGATGGATTGTGTGTTTCGACAGTTGCTAGTGCTCGTCGATGTGCATCGAAAGCTTCCTTGTACTTTCCTTGCTCATGTAAAATATTTCCAATGTTGTTGAGACTTGATGCTATTGAAACATTACCCGAAGGATAATATTTCTCTTGCATTGTTAGCGCTCGTTGACAATAGCATAGAGCTTCATCATATTTTGATTGAGAAAGTAGTACAATGGAGATATAATTGAGAATGTCAGCGATGCGTGTATAATAGGATGGATAATATTTCTCTTGAAGTGCTAATGCTCGTCGATGAAAATCAAGAGCTTCATCATACTTTCCTTGATCCCTCTGTATACAGCCAATGTTGTTTAAAGTACAAATAATGTCAGCATGACCAGAAAAATAGTATTTTCGTAGAATATCTAGCACTTGTTCCTGAAACGCATTGGCTTTATCATAGTTTCTTCGATCGTAGTGAACATGTCCTATTCCACAAAGACTATCAGCCATGTCGACATGACCAGATGGAAAATGCTTTTGTTGCATGGCTAATGCTCGTTCATGAATCTGCAGAGCTTCGTCATGTTTGCCTTCGAAATAGAGAATGTAACCGATATGATTGAGAGTCGAGGTGATGCATAGATGACCATTTGGATAATATCTTGTATAAATTGACATTGCTCGTTGACAGAAATCGAGGGCATCATCGTACTTTCTTTGATATATAAGAACCTGACCAATGTGCATGAGACTAACAGCGATATCAATATGAGGAGATCTATAATATTTCTCGAATATTGTCAGTGCCTGCTGATAAAAGATCAATGCTTCATCATACTTGGCTTGTCGAAAAAGGATTTTGCCGAAGCTACGAAGACTAATAGCGATAGGTATATGACCATCAAAGTGAGCCTTGCTCAGTTGTGACCAATCGGTTTCCTGTACATTTCGACACATTTCTTGTAACTGAGTTTTATTCGATTGCTCGTCAAAAGACTCCATTCTATTTGCCACATATTTCGAATGGAACCAACGAGAAGTTTCTCGAAAATTTCTAGTCCAAAGTCGTCCAGAACACGGTTGAAATAATCGACGCGAAGTCAATAAAATCGACCGGAATGACGCACGAATACGACTTAACATATTGCTGCGTTGATGATTCGGTGAACGGAACCTACCGACCTTGGGAAAGGAATAATATTCCTTTCTTATTACAAATGCTCGTTCATAATAATCACGAGCTTCTTCATACTTTCCTTCTCGATAGAGAATCTCACCAATATTGAAGAGTATATTAGCTGAATCCTTGATTCGTGTTGATTTTAAATTCATTATTCGATCATAAGCACGATCATAATATTTTCTTGCTTCATTCCATTCTCCTTTCCATTGTAGAACCTCACCAAGACTACATTCAAGCTTTACGAGATCTTCATTGTAGCTATTCGAGTTGTTCAATAAATGTTCAAAGAAATGTTGTGATTGATCCCATTGACCCATATCACACATCAATCGTCCAAAGAGAATTCTAATACTTATATCTTCCATTTGACTATGTGAATCTTTGATATATTTTTCTTTGATAAGTTGACCTTCATTAAATGCACTCATTTTAATCAGCCACATGTCTTCCTCCATTCTCATACTCTCTAGTTGAAAAGCAACATTTAAATCGAAGATAATTTCTTGTTGTTCCTCATTTAGAAGTTCATTACAATGAACGCAATCAGCAACAATGACACTGTTGCTCACCTGTTCTAAATTACATTGGATTTCTAGGAGAACAGGCATAAGATCAGTTCTTTTTGAAGGTTTCATCGCTTGGTTTAATGCAGTTAAACGACGAGTAGTTGTTGTCAAAAATCCATTAATTGAAACAAGTTTACTTTTGTTCTCTTTGAATTGATCGATTTGATCACTTGTCAATTTCATTCCTCGATACATGAATAGTAATTTGGTACCAGATTGGACAAATTTTTGATGTTCTCGAATGAGACATTCTGTCAGATCTCTCATAAAATATCGAAATGTGAAGAGTTGATCAAAATCTTTTGTTCTCAATGCTTTTTTGATTATTTTGTAGAGGAACGATTTTTTTAAATACCATCGAAGAGCTTCTTCTGATCGATATTTATTTTCAAACTTCTCAATCACTTCCAATTCTTTGATATTGTCTCGATAATAAGAACGACTTGCATCAATCATTTCTTGTTTAGCTTTTTCATCATGTATTAACTGAAAGAGAACATCATGATAAAGTTGGAACCAAATAAGATCAGCTGTTTGTTTTGATAGATCTTTCTTGAAATGTTCATCCTGGTCAAAGGAGCTGAATGTTTGTAAATTTTGATCGAGAAAATCAATTTGTTCTTGAATTGATAAACACAATAAATCGATTTCATCATAGATACCAATCACTTTTGAATGTTCAACAAATAAATGTTCATGATTGACTTTGTCCCAGTTGAAAAGAAATATACTATCGATTTGAGGTAGTCTTGTAATACGAGGTAATATATGTGATGCATCAGAAATCGAAGAGATAAACAAGATCTTCTCATCATAAATCGATTGAATGAAATTGATGCAAGATTCGAGTTGAGTATGAAATACAACATAATCATTGATTTGACTTAGTTGTTTCTTTGTTTGTTCTACATGATAGTTGGAATCGATCTTTGAATCAAACCAAATCAGAGTAATATCTTCTTTGTTGTTAATTCTGTTCATTATTTCCAATGAATTTTCTAGAATAATAAAAGCACAAAGACTTGTCAAACAGCCAGTTGAACAAAAAACAATCGACTTGAAATCTTGCAATAATGAAAAAAGTAGAGAAAGGAATCTGGTGAGAAATAATCGGTGCAATTAAGTCTCAGGCATTCTCTTAAATGTTTCACTACCATGATAAATTCACATATTACAAAAGTGTTTAGATAGTTTTGGGCACTATAAAAATATCTAATTAGTTTTATAAAAGTCTCATATTATAGTGATGATATCTTAAGGAAAATAACAGAAAATATTTTTGTCCAAGGATATATATTTGACCTCTATTACTTGCCTTTAATGTGAAAATGTAAAGGATTTGAAGAGCAAGAAAAATATCTATCGATTCTTGCTCATTTTCGAATGAGTCAAGAGAACAGAACCAAGCCATTACTTTCATCTCTTCATGTAACTCTCATTACCATTTAAAATAATATTGGTAGAACGAGTGGTGCTATTTAAATATATGTATATTGGTCGGTTATCTGACGACGAAATCATTAAAAGGAAGTAACTGTTTTTTTTTCGAATAGCAATATATTTATGTGTAGAAAGAAAAAAAACAGTTTTCTTTCGTAACAGGGAACCATCATGCTATCGACTCCGTTCTGTTCTCGTGACAATGTGAATTTTCTTTCCTTCTTTTATTCATTTTCCAGTGTTCTCGAAACGTATAACGATCTATGCTTTTTAGCAACAAATTTCTTCGGAAAGTTTTCGATAAACAAGTCGAAGGATATCAACTTTGAGTAGTCAATTGTTGTTGAAGAATATACAAGTTTCATGCACATAGAATATGTTTTTCGATTGTACTTCTGTAAAAGAGAAACACTATACTAATTGTAGGTTGATCTGTGAATTAAATTGTTTCATTTAAATAAAATTGAAGAGTGAACAAGAAATCATGTCTAATCGATTCTACCATTGAATATTTAGATCCATGATAGAAACACAGATGGTATTATTAGATTGTTCGCTCTAAGAAAATAATTTTGAAGATTTTTCACTAGCAAAACTATTTCGAGCAATATTTCTCTTATACTTATGCATGATTTATCAATTTGTCAAACGTATGCATTTATTTTTCGATGACGATAAAAATTTCGCTGCAATCATTGAAGCATACTATTTACCGTGAATATTTTTGTATTTGTAAGATGCTTAGGAACAATCAATTTATAATAGTCCTCCTTTGTCTTATACAATGTATATATCAGTGTTCATGGTAGATTTGATGTATAAATTTCTTTTGTATTATTTTAAAGAATGACAAAGAATCAATTGAAATTTTCAGGTAGAATCACAAAATGACGATAGTCAAAAGAAAAAACTTGTAGGAAAACAAAATGGAAAATCAAAGGGATTAAATAAATATACGTATCTATGCTATGTCGATAAGATTCATCACTGACTTATTAGACTTTCATTTATCCTGAGTCATGCGTGGTACTATGAATGAAGGTATTATGATTCCAAAAATCGATTTTCGGATATATATATAATGTTTCTTGCTCACTGAAATCTACCTATGTGAAATTATCTGACTCACAAACAACTCATTCAATCGACAAGCTATCTGTGAAATGCTGAAAGGATATGACATTTCATCTTTTACGCTACAAAAACATAGATCCATATTAGATTCAAAAGTGGTCAGATTCCGTGAATTCTGAATTCCTAGAACTCTCAAAAAATGCAGCTGCACTCACAAGACACTTAGAGATCAAGAAACTTTCGGAGACATATGGTTGTAAGGATGTATGGTTTTTTTTGATTCCGAATAATAGATAACATTGCATTAAAGAAACTTATTGTTTCAGAACATATCAATCAAAGTTCTATGTCGAAATTTATACTAACGCAAAGATCGATGGTAGTGATAGGAGATGTTTCAAAGATTTTGTTTAGAACATTCATAAGTTTGAAAGATTTGAAACTTAGAGAAGAACTTAGAAACCTATTATAAAACAAAACATATCAATAAGAAAAACTGAAATGTATCGAGTGCTAAAATCATTTCTTTTTTTTTCTATCAGTAACAAAAAAATCCAGGCGAAACATTTGAATTAATTTACTTATAGTTTCTAGTGCGACTTCACGTCATGAACTCTTGTCTAAATAAATTAGTTCATCTTTTTTATAAAGTTTTATTCCTATTACAAATTTATTTTTCAAAGAGAATTTATTACAATTAATTCATGAATTGCAAGCTTAACTAAATTTTCATATCAATCATGATTATTAACACAGTAGAAATCATTGGCACCTACATTACATTATGAATTAGCAAAAATGACTATTTTGCTTAGTTTATAAAAAAAACAAGTACGTGTCATACTTTCTTAGTGCAAATGAAAATTTGAATTTCTTTTCCAATAAAAGAAACTTATTTCTTAGATTCCCTCCTAATTAAAAGCGACTTCTGTATAAGTTTAATTCTACTTAGGACATATCGGTACCATAGCTTGATTGCGTATTTTTGCATACAATGATGAAATGTGTAAGCAATTAAACATAAATTTCGTCGATTATTCTGCTACAATAACATGAATAATTGATTGTATTATTGAATGAAATTTAAATAGACTTTCTTCAAAAATATTTTCATTTTTATCTAGGTTTCATTTTATTTTGCAAAAAAAGAACCTATTTTCATAGAAAACTTCTTCGACAATTCCAATCATTATAACAATGGAGCATTGTTTAATTTATTTGTAAATGATCTATAAGAAATTCCATTTTTTGGTTTCAATATAAAATCATTCAAGCGAAATAACCTTAGTCGAACGGGATTCAGTAGTACTATGTCTAAAGAATGAACCACTTTCTAATCAATGTTTTAGTTTTTTTTTTTAATTTTTTCGATGCTAGTTGATCTCGTGAAAGAAGTGTGAATACGTCATTATATAGTGCTTTCCACGTTGATATTAGGTGAGAAACATTCAAAAAGTTTTCTATTTCGGCTAATAACATTCATTATGTAAAGTAGATATTTAAGTTAAAATGAAGAAAAATGTTGTTTTTTTCTATCATGCCCAACAAAAACCATTAAGTAAATATGTCCTTAGAACCTGAATATCTTATATTAACAAATTGCTTCGATGTTGTACATTCTCTTTTCTCATAGCTTTGATAAAATGCAACTTTGTGATGTAAACTCAGTGAAATATTAATGATATCATTATTTATACTCTTTTTAAGTCGTTATCAAATTTTAGTATTATATATCATCTTATGTAGAAATTAAAACCTATTATTTTATCTAGAATACAACAGAAATAGAAATGTGGGTGTAGATGAAGGTGAAGAGAAGAAATACGTCCACATACCACAACCACATCCTCAGTTCTATTTTTATATTTGGATAATAGTTTATTAGATTTAGAACAACCTATTGTAGAAAAAGAAATAGTTTTTAATTGGAATTTTCTATTCTATAGTAAATCATATAATAAAATATAAGATAAAAAAATCTGCATGCATCTATGCAATGTATAAATAAGCTTCTAAGTATCGTTAATAGTAGATAAAGACCATAAAATAAAGGATTACAATAAAAACAGTCTTCTTCTCTGTTTCATTTCACTCATCTTTTTCATAAATACCACTTCACAAATCGATTTTCATTCGACTATTCCGTTAATAATTATTGTTCACAATGCATATAACATCAACATCTTAATATGAATATTGTCTCCTTACTTATTTTAAAGTTCACTGTGTCATACGAAAGACTGTCAATAGAAATACTTTTATCCAGAAAGTTTTATTAAAAAATTATACTTTACTATCTAAAATGTATGAATTAAATTAGCGATAGCACTGAAATCGTTATAATAAAAAGAATTCAAATTCAATATTATAATTATATAATTTTATCGCTCTATCTATCTATATATCATTGTTCTTTACGACTAAAAATAGTAATCGTAGTTTAATTATGAAGTCAAACGAGAATAGTAGGAGAAGTAAAAAAGAGACAAGTTGTGCATTTTTGTCATTTTCATTAAATGATTAATATAGAGAATATTTTTTGTGAAACATGATCTAAAAGAGACTCTGAGATATAGACGTTAGAAATTCGAACCTAGTCATCCCTTCTGACAGGTGTTATTCGATTTACGATTACAGATCGTATTTCCTTATTGAATTTCTGAAGAATGAAACTAAATGATGGTGAAAAAGAAATGTTTCTCAATCAATAGAATATAACAATCTTCTTGTGATTAACGAAAGCAGCTGTAACGTTTGTAACATTTTAATTTCGAAGGAATTGTTCTAACAACTTTTTTCTGCTAATGGTAATTTGATATTGATTATTTCATTAATTTTAATCAAACTGGTAGTTATGCAGAATATAATTCAATTTTTAGGTAGCCTGTAGGTATGATTGAAGAGTATAGTCACACTCACACCCTAATGTTGAATTATCTACAGAAGTGTTCTTTATTGACGATATATAAGAAAGAGAAAAGTATCAATAAATATGATTAATTAAGTTTTGACTCGGCATGTTGACATGGTATTGAAAAGTATGAATGGTTTCCAATGATGAATCATTGCTTCAAATGTGTAGACAAATCGATTTCGGAATGGTAGCGATGACAATGAGAAATAATATAGTCGGTTCTTTAGCAAACATTGTCACCAACTCTTGAAGTGGGCGTAACAAAAAAAGATAATTGTACGATTATATTTGATTCTTTGTATCGAAAAGAAAAGAAAAAAACATAAAAAATTGCAGATAAGACTTTTTTTTATTGGATTCCAATCGGAATAAAGAATGCTTCAAAACATTGATGCATATCTTTTGCACATAATCCCTTCCTATTTACATTTTTCGTTTTATTCTCTTTTTGGCTTATCACCAAGAGTATTGCGCAATCGTTTTTGTTTCTATCGGTGAATCATCCACAACATTCTTTCCATTGTTGGAAGAAAAACGTAGGCAGGAAGTTATT